TCGAGGTGTGAAGCTGCAGCTTTAACCTGAAACCTCTGTGTCCTATCTGTCCCTCCCATTCCAATGCATTCAATGTAGATACAGTCGGCTTTATGCCTCAATGAGTGAATATAACAAAGCATGCATAGTTTGTCTTCATCTGATAACTAGTACACATTAATTACAACACATCATTAATGATCACAGTTCATCACACTACATCATAAGATCTAATACAGTTCATGTGGTCCAACACTCAAGACATTTGCCTCAATCGGCTGTCTTACATTCAGATGCTCATCTACTAGGAAAAAAAAACCTTGCAAAATAAAACTCTTTGGGGAAAAAAATTGGTAGAAATCCATAAAGGACGGCAACTAGCATCCGTCCCCAGGTTTTACCATCACATTGACAGAATGTTAATGTGTACAGTGTTTATATAGTTTACATGACTATAAATTTAGTTTGATTCATATTTCATTCACTTCATCTAACATGCTGATGTAATAACTAATATTTAACATCACACAAACTACAATTCTAACGCTAAACATTATTACACGTATTATAATTTCCACCCCTTGCGGGTGAACCTCTTAAATCCCTAACACATCTCCTTTTGGACTCTTCATCACACGTTGTCCATTTGGCCGATGAGCCGTTCCTTCCGTGATCCCCCCCCATTCCCTCCTCCCTTTCAGCTGCTGCACTTCTGCTGCCGTCTGTCTCACTTCACACCCACCATAAGCCGCACTATGTGCCCCTCTGCAATTTGCACACTTGATCCCTATTTCCTCCTGACACGCTGTTGGCCAGTTCCTTACTGCCAGAGCTCCCGATTGGTCCCCGTAAAGTAAATGAGCCTCTGCAGGTGCAGGAGATCATTGAGTGCAATCTACTTAAATGAGGGTTAAAAATAGTGTCCAATATACACTTGGTAAAATGGTAGGTTATAAAAACATGCAAATAATAAAAAAAAAAAGCTAAAATCAGTAAAACAAACCATTGCTAAACATGTATTAAAAGAATTATTCACAGCAACAACCCAATCTACACAGCGATATGGCCTGATGTCCTCCTGATGACAACTGCAGGTGTCTCTTTTATCAAGTGACCTCCGTTATTTCCGCATTTCGTCCTGATGTTTCCTGTGTATGACGAGGCTGTTTCTGCTTAACACAATTTCCGGACTGTCATGGTCAAATTGGATATTTCTTTTATATTTTCCGTATAAACAGCGTTCCTCTTTCTCCACTGAGAGCTCAGATTAGGGCTCCTGACAAGGGGACAATCAAGGGGTCAAAGGTGATCAGAGCCAGGAGAAGAGGACCACAGAGATCGTAGACCGATCAGTGCTGATGCATCAACCGAGTGTTAGTTATTTTCAAGCGATTAGTTTGTGTAGTTTTATTGAGGAGTGAAATGCGACAAGAGGTCACATGCTCATGCTTGGTTTAGAAAAGACACATTTTTCTGTTTTTATATAAAAAGACAAATTCAACCACAAGGTGGCAGCTTGAATCAACTTATTGGCCCTTTCATCTTGCTCCTCTCTGTGTTGTAATAGCTTACACATTGGCTGTATAGTCTACAGTTATGATTTATCACAGTATATATAGGTTTATATAACATGTTATTAAAATATATAAATGGAAAATTGTAACTAGCACCACAAAAGGCTTTTAGTTGTTGTTAATCATTCACGTACACTATCAATGGTGGTGGAGCTGCCAGACGCTGGACCAACCTTTGGGGAAAAGGGTCCTGAGATTAAAGCACACTGGTACTTGTGGACTGAGGGAGCGGGTCGGACCACCTGCTGGGAACTACAACCAGTTTCAGTGGAATACTTTAATGTCAATTATTTTACACTGCATCTATATCAAATTGCTTCATGAGAGCTGCTGTATATCTGTATCCTGATTAGCATCAGCAAGATGAGGGAAAGTTTTTGCAAATTATTTTTTATTTCTGATAGTAAAATTGACTCAATAAAACGAGAACTGATAATTTCATTATCGGAGGAAACCAACCATCATGACAAATTGACAAATTAAAACATGTTTGACCATGTTGCTGATATGTTTGGTACTAAACTCACTACATCCAAAATGTGAAATGACTCAGTTGCAATGAAATGTTTGAATATTAAATAAAATGAGCAAACAAAAAACTTGCGTTTTCATCCTCTACCAGTGAAGCATCACCTCTCTACTCCCCCCTTCTTTCCCAGGATGCACCTGCAGGCCTCCTCTTCTTATTCATAGCTCCATGTAAATGAGGAGGTCAAGTCTCAGCACACAAGATGTAACTGTATTTGACTTCTGACGAGGTTTGTTAACAACATTTGACCTCATATAACTAATCTGTTTTCTATGTAATCCTGTCTGTCACTGCAAACACTGATGTAGATTATTATTAAAAATGTGTTGCAAGTATTTAATGTACACTTGAGAATCTCTTGTAAAGCGACTCTCCTTTTGACTTGTGAGAACATTTTTCTGAACAACCTAAGAAATAAGATATACAGATTAAAAAGAATGTACAAAATTGGTTCCTTGCCATGAATTTAAATCAGTAGAGACACGACTAGGCCCCAATGGTGTTACTACAAAACTGGAGAACATCTTTTCAGATCACTTCTTTGCAAAGGCAGTGAGGGAAATAACCTCCACTGATAATAATGCTGACGAATAACACAACTGTGAGAAACACGCAGGTTGAAGCTAAGCTCCTCCCCCTGTCAGTCACTCCCAGCTTCAGTGTTGTATTAAATGTCTCCCCCAGCACCTCCTCTCCTCATCCTCCAAAGCCTCTAATCTGGCAGCAGTCAGGTCTCTTTCCAAGTCACAAGGCCATTCTCATCCCACACTGACACCATGCTGGGGACCCTCTGCACTCTCATCACTGCTCTCACATGTGAGGAGGCTGACTTCCTGCAGCTTGGACTTCATGTTGGACTCATCAGTGTGTGTGTTTCTCTTGACTCCATGTCGTCTTGTTGTTTCCAGGTGTGAGTGGTGTGACGGTGGTGACACAGAAGCCTGTTGTAGCCGTGACGACAGGAGAGACAGTCTCCATAGACTGTAACCTCGGGACTGTTACTGACCGTGTTGCTCGCTGGTATAAACAGATTCCAGGAGGAGTTCCTCAGTTTGTATTATATTATCATCACAGCTACAGCTCTCCAACATATGGCACTGGTTTCTCCTCTTCAAAGTTCACATCCACTCATCAGTCAACTACAGATTATCGTTTGACCATAAAGAACATCGAGGAGGGAGACTCAGCCGTCTATTACTGTCAAACATGGGACAACTCTGTTAATGAGTGGGTATCACAGTGATTTACACTGTGACAAAAACCTCTTCACTGAGTACTTCTGCTTTTTGAGACGCTGAAACAATTTGAGTGAAGCCATCTGTCAGTTTTTGTAACTTATATTTCATCTAAACAGATATTTGAAGTGGTAGTTATTTATATTCATAATATTTGTATACACACCTAAATAAAAAATAGATGATAAGCTTTCCTTCAAAGATAATCTGACAGAAAAAGACGGGCTTCATTATTTTGATGTTCTTCACAAAAAAGATTAACACACCTTTTTGCAACACTGGGAGTATTATTTTTACTAGAAGACATTCCAAGACGACTTGAAGAATAAATACAACAAAAGAATAAGCATAAGTTTTATAATGTGTTGCAAGAAACATAAGCTTGCTTCACATCAAACTTGATAAGTGGAAACTTTACATTTCTGTGCATTTAAAACTCCACCATTTAGTCAATAATATAGTAAGTATGGTAAATAGTATTTGCCTCAAAAATATGTCAGCTTTAAAAACTTTCCCAAACTTCTATTTTTTCAGACGCCAATCTTTCAAACTCAATATTCAACAATGTTTAATGAAATCCTCAAGTTGACAATGTCTGACTCCAGCACATAAAAGATGATTCCATTTATCTAGATCTTTTCTGACAGTGCTTTTTAAAACATTATACGTTTTGGAAATAAAAAACGGCCGATGGTTGTTTGCAAAAATGTTTCAATTTTATGATTCTGGATTCCTGTGTCACATTTTTTACCTTCAGAACGAAAATTCCACTATCAACTATTTCATGATAGTATTTCATATCTCACGTAGGATGAGATCAGAAGTTTAGATGAGGTCAAAGAATACTATGAGTATAATATGCTTTTCTGTCAGTGATAAAAAGACAAGAAATATGTTGTTTTACAAAATGCTTTTTATTCAAAAGGTTTTACTACATTTTACCGTTTGCAAAGCGGATACAACACCTCTACCTAACTGTCAACAACATGTACTACAAGCGTGGAGACACATGTAGGATCCTGTAGGTTACAGGAAGCTAGTGAAGAGAGCAAAGCAGAGGGGTGATATGGTTGTGCCTGTTTCATCTAGTAAGAAGCCTAGCAGCCGCAATTTGAATGGATTGCAGGCAGTGAAGGACAGATTTATTTAATTTTTATTTAAATTTAAATTTTTAAACTCAATTTGCGATATGTTCAATGAAATCCTCAATGTTACGAAGTCTGTCCGCAGCACATAAAAGATGATTTTCTTTATCTAGATCTTTTCTGTTAGTGCTTTTTAAACATTATACGTTTAAGAAATTAGAAACATCTGATGTTAGTTTGCGGAAAGCAGCTTTAATGTATCATGTGTGAATGATTGAAATGTTGATTAAAGCATTTTGTGAAAGAAATACAGGTTTTTAAAAAAACTGTCGCTGCAGGTTTTGTTGATCTGGATTCCTCAGTCCGTTTTTATTTTAAACAATAAAGTTGTCTTTTATTTGATCAAACGACTGCAAGCGACTAGACCAGATTAATAAACGTAGTCGGCTTTAAAGCAATAAAAGTCTTCATTTACTTTTACAGTGTTGGACCAAGTTTGCACAAAACTTAATGAAGCGAAAACTTGAAGTGAGACAAAAAGTGATCGACAAATCTCCTGCTTTTCCTTGAACTGTCAGCGATAAAGGGACAAGAATTATGTTGTTTTACAAAATGCTTTTTATTCAAAAGGTTTTACTACATTTTACCGTTTGCAAAGCGGATACAACACCTCTACCTAACTGTCAACAACATGTACTACAAGCGTGGAGACACATGTTCTAACATGTAACGCTCGTGATGAATAAACAGCACAAAGAGGGAAGAAGCAGATGTTAAATGGTCCTTCTGCTCCTCTACTGTTGTTCAGTGAGGCACTCAGACTTCTTGATGTTTTTCTCTGCAGTCTGGGAGCCCAAAGACACTTTACATGTGTAAACCTTATCCATGTTCCAGTCTGACGCCTGGATGGCCAGATAGCTGCTGATGTGGAACGTCTGATCAGGTTGCTTAACAGCGGTGCTGGTAGAGATCCCAGTGACCACTGGACTCCCTCCAGACATCCAGGTCACATCTGCAAAAGGCCCAGACTGACTGGACAGACAGACCAAAGAGGCTTTGTTGGACTGCAGCTCAGCACTGGACGGAGGAAAGACAGTGAGGACGGGAGGACGGAGGCTGGAGCCTGAAACACACAAAAGGCATTCTTTAAATGAAGGGAAGTGGAGCTATTGATGCAAATCATGGCGGCAAAAGGAATCTGTTAGTAAGTTGAGGAGAAAGACAAAAAAACATTTAGAAACCATCAGAGCAGAGTTCAAAAACAAAGTCTATCATTCACAAACTAGATAATACAACGAGATGTTCTATGTTGTTCATGTTAAATACAGTTATATTTTTACTTAGTCTTATATGTATCTTAATCTCTTTTGTTGTTGTTAGAATACAGTTATATTTGTACTTAGTCTTATATGTATCTTAATCTCTTTTTTACTACATTTTTAAAATCCAGCAATTGTGGTGTTAAAACTAAATAAAGAAGATACATTAAAGTTTGACCTTCATTTTAAAAGATTAGTAGTTAATCAACACAAACTCAGTAAATTAATATTCAGACTTTAACATTGATCATTTTAAAGTATGATGTTGTTAAAATTGTTTTTAAATGTTAGTTATCAGTGAGTAGCAGAAATCAATATAGTAAAAAATTTTACAACAAAAATTGTCTGCTAAAAAACAACTTGTTAAGAAAGTAGATGAACAAAATCCAACATGTTAAATATCTTCAAAAAGTATAACAAATAAAAGATTAACATATTACATAAATCTCTGTTAAAATGACGTAGAAACAAAAGAATCACTTACGTTTTAAGAAGAGATTTAAAGTACTTACTTGTCACAATCAGCTTGGTTCCTTGTCCGAATACCACAGTGATTCAGTTGGTACACATGGCTGTACAAAAACCTCTCGACTCGCTCTGATGACGGAGTGGAACTGAAAGATCCTGTTGAGACCAACTTTCATTTTCAACATCTCACTAACTTCATCAGTTTGATTTGCTCCAGACTGAATTGTCTCTTCACAGGAATTGATTTGTTGTCCTTCAATGTTTTGAAGACGTTTCCCTTATTTGATGTGTCTGATTTAGCTGAGAATCAATAAATCTTCAGTAGGTCTCTGATGGAGGTTTTTGTCACAGTGTGAACCACTGTGATACAGCTTCATCAGCAGAGTCATCCCATGTCTGACAGTAATACTGAGCAGAGTCTCCTGTCTCTGAACGCTTTATGATGAACTGGTATTCTGTGCTTGAAGAGGATTTAGAGTTGAACCGGTCTGAAGAGAATCCTGATCCAAAGTCGAGAGAATCTAACAATTGGTGAAATCCAAGAACATACTGAGGAGCTTCACCAGGAACCTGTTTATACCATGACACAGAATATCCATCATATCTCTGAATGTTGCAGTTGAGGACAACCTCTTGTCATGTAGGAACTGAGTGGACAGCAGGCGTCTGAGTCAGCACTATCGCTGCATCAACATCTGTCAACACACAGAGAAAAGTCAGGGGAAAGGTTTGTGCATGAAAACATGGAGCATGAAATGAATGGATGAATATCTTACATGTGAGAGCAGTGAGCAGAGTGCAGAGGATCCCCAGCATGTTGTCAGTGTGAGCTGTAAACGTTCCTTACAGTCCAGCTGAGAGGTGAGCAGGGCGGGAGTGTGAGGAGAAGAAACACTGAGGCTTATAAAGACAGTGAGGAGGAGCTTAAACACTTGATTCACTTGTTACACATAAACACACATTGTGTGAGTCACATCAACACTTTTCATAAATTCTGTTGATCATAAAGACGTGTTTATTTTGTTTTTGCAAGTCTGCTAATGTCATTTGAATATTATATCTAGTCAAGGAATTACTTTAATTAAATATTTGCAATATATTTATTTTTTCAGTATTCAGTGTGCTCATAGTTTTAGAGTCAATGTTATTGTCATTTGTTTGTCCTTGTTGTTGTAAACAATGATTTCTATAGTGTATACATGGAAAACTATTAATAACTACCACTAAGTAAGATTTATATTTAGTATGATGAATAAATGGGTTTATAAGAAATATAAGCTACAGAAATTGACTGATGTCTTCACTCAAAATGTGTCAGCGTCTCAAAAAGCAGAAGTACTCAGTGAAGAGGTTTTTGTCACAGTGTAAATCACTGTGATACGTACTCATTAACAGAGTCGTCCCATGTTGCACAGTGATAGACGGCTGAGTCTCCCTCCTCGATGTTCTTTATGGTCAAACGATAATCTGTAGTTGACTGATGAGTGGATGTGAACTTTGAAGAGGAGAAACCAGTGCCATATGTTGGAGAGGCGCCGCTGTGATAATAATATAATACAAACTGAGGAACTCCTCCTGGAATCTGTTTATACCAGCAAGCAACACGGTTAGTAACAGTCCCGAGGTTACAGTCTATGGAGACTGTCTCTCCTGTCGTCACGGCTACAACAGGCTTCTGTGTCACCACCGTCACACCACTCACACCTGGAAACAACAAGACGACATGGAGTCAAGAGAAACACACACACTGATGAGTCCACCATGAAGTCCAAGCTGCAGGAAGTCAGCCTCCTCACATGTGAGAGCAGTGATGAGAGTGCAGAGGGTCCCCAGCATGGTGTCAGTGTGTGATGAGAATGGCCTTGTGACTTGGAAAGAGACCTGACTGCTGCCAGATTAGAGGCTTTGGAGGATGAGGAGAGGAGGTGCTGGGGGAGACATTTAATACGACACTGAAGCTGGGAGTGACTGACAGGGGGAGGAGCTTAGCTTCAACCTGCATGTTTCTCACAGTTGTGTTATTCGTCAGCATTATTATCAGTGGAGGTTATTTCCCTCAACGCCTTTGCAAAGAAGTGATCTGAAAATATTTCCTGCAGTTTTGTAGTACTACAGTTAGTCCTGTTTGTATCGTTTGGAATTCATGACATACATCCAATAGTTTATATGTCTTTTCTTTAATAGTAAAGGAAGTCACCTTCCAAAATGTCGCTTTTCTCACACATACAATAACGAGATCATACATCAGAGTGTTTCCAGTCATGCGCAGGATCACAGAGAACTGAGACTTAACCTCTTCATTTGCATGAGGTTAAATAAAGACAGGAGGCCTGCAGGTGCATCCTGCACATCAGAAAGGGTTGAAAAATTAACCGTGACTTCCACTGAAATCTAGTGTTGCTATTCTCATTTTCAAGTGTGTGTTTCCTTTTTTTAAGTGATTCAAATCAGTAACAGTTCCCTCTGTGTCTTTCCAACAGCGACCCAGTGCTGCTCTCTACTGTGCATTCAAAAGAGTAACAACATCTGACCTCCCTCATGTTAAAGTGAAAACCAACCAAAGTAAAACAAATTATGTTTCTGTCACGGGGGTGAGGGTGGAGGCAGGACTCAAGACGCAGAGTTCAAAACAAAAGGGACTTTAATAGTCAAAAATCAAAAAAAAGGCCAAGGGGCAAAAACACACAGGCATGAACTACGGACATCCAAGACAAAAGACAAGGACATGCGTGGCTAAAGACAATGACGCGACAAGTGACACAGGAGACACACGGCTTAAATACACAAGGGAGGTGCAGGTGATTGGACACAGGTGGAAACTATTAAGACGATCACAGGGGATGACGGGACAAGGCAGGAAGTGAAGTTACCCGGGGACACGAGTGGAAGAAAACTACAAAATACAACAGGCAGTGAAAACCACACCGTGACAGTCTCATCTTAGGACAGTTTCATCTTAGGAATATGTTGAATGAGATCACTGGAATACTCCAGTGATCTCATTCATTTTCTTGTATCGATCATTTATATACTTAAACATATCCCGAGGGCGGTACGGTGGCGTGGTGGTTCGCACTGTCGCCTCACAGCAAGAAGGTCCTGGGTTCGGCTCCGTCCAGTGGCCTTTCTGTGTGGAGTCTGCATGTTCTCCCCGTGTCTGCGTGGGTTCTCCGGCTTCCTCCCACAGTCCAGAGACATGCTCCGGGGATCAGGTTGATTGGGGACTCTAAATTGCCTGAAGGTGTGTGAATGTGAATGGTTGTGTGTCTCCGTGTTAGTCCTGTGATTGGCTGGCGACCAGTCCAGGATGTACCCTGTCTATCGCCCGAAGTTGACTGGGATGGACTGCTATTCCTGATAGCAGTCGTAATATAGAATGGAAAATATTTTATTTTGAAGCTTGAGAGACAAGTGGTGCTTCTCAACAATCCTAGTTTTTTTACGATTGAATATACCCGGAAATCTAAACAATTATCCAAACCGTACACTCAAAGAGCCAAACTCAGATTTGCACCACTATGAGCACAATGTCAGCCTCACAGTTTGCAAAACACTAAACACACTTCTATACATCACACACAGAAGTATATCAAGATGTCACTTCCTTGCAATTCCAAAGCACTGATTGTCAAATTACCAAACCCAGGTGCCAATTGGTTAAACACAGCCGTCACGTGCGCAAACACAAGATTGTTCATTTTTTTTCAATTGCTAACAAGCAACAAGCAGAAAACACATTTTTAAAACTCTTCACACATTCAGCAACACACAAGTGTATACGGACCAAATAGTGAATCAATGAAACATTTCATTGCTTTCAGAATGCAAAATGCATTCAATCACCACACTTTTCAAAATCCACAAACACTTTTGTCATTCACACTCCACAAACTGCACATTTGCAGGATATGTTTCATATGCCAACAAACTGCTTTCAAGACTGATAAAATCACATTCAAATCAGAACGATGACAAATTTCAAACATTTCTGTAGTAATTATTTTGAGATATAGAAAGTCCAACCCAGGTCCTGCTTTACTCTCATTACCAGGTTTCAGTAACAGGCGATAGCTTGGAACTGACTTTGTTTGGAAATATGGATCACAGAAGGCCGGTCGGTGGGGAAAGAAGAGTGAGGGAGAGTGTGTGGAGGACAAAGGAGAGGAAGACCAAGAGCGCTGATATCTGAAGAAATACTGTAAATGTTGTGAACGTGGTCTCACTGTGAGAGACGCCGGTCTGAGGCTGCAGACAAATCTGCACCACTCAGTTACGTCAATAGAGAGAATTTTCCAGCAAAACAACAGGTGAGATGATACATATTACAGTAAAAAAAGTCTACATTTGGAAACATATTACAATACAGTAATTGTTGTGTTTTAGGATGTTGCTAGTGTTTTTTATGTGTTATGAGTGACATGCATGTTTTCTGAATGAAAATCTGTTGCCACAGATCGGTGGAACGAGATTGTTTTGAGACATGTACGACGGGAAGAAACTGTTCGTGTGGCGAGAGGTCTTAGTCCTGATGGACCTCAGCCTCCTGCCAGATGGAAGGGGCACAAACAGTTTGTGTCCGGGGTGAGAGGGGTCGGCTACGATCTTTTTAGCTCGCTTCAGAGACCTGGAAGCGAACAAGTCCTGCAGGGACAGCAGATTGCAGCCGATCACCCTCTCTGCAGAGCGGATGACACGCTGCAGCCTGCCCTTGACTGCAATCTACTTAAATGAGGGTTAAAATAGTGTCCAATATACGCTTGGTACAATGGTAGGTTATAAAAACATGAATAAACAGGCTAAAATCTATAAAACAAACCATCGCTAAACATATATTAAAAGAATGATTCACAGCAACAACCCAATCTACACAGCGTGATGGCCTGATGTCCTCCTGATGACAACTGTAAGTGTTTCTTTCATCAAGGGACCTCCGTTATTTCCTTCTTTTTTCCTGATGTTTCCTGCGTATGATGAGGCTGTTTCTGCTTAACACAGTTTGTGGACTTTCAGCGTCATGTTGTAAATTGGATTTCTCTTTTATATTTTCAGTATAAACAACGTTCCTCTTTCTCCACTGAGAGCTCAGATTAGGGCTCCTGACAAGGGGACAATCAAGGGGTCAAAGGTGATCAGAGCCAGAAGAAGGGGACCACAGAGATCGTAGACCGATCAGGCTGATGCATCAACCGAGTGTTATTGTGCTTATTTTCAAGCGATTAGCTTGTGTAGTTTTATTGAGGAGGGAAATGCGACAAGAGGTCACATGCTCATGCTTGGTTTAGAAAAGACACATTTTTCTTTTTTCATATAAAAAGACAAATTCAACCACAAGGTGGCAGCTTGAATCAACTTATTGGCCCTTTCATCTTGATCCTCTCTGTGTTTTAATAGCTAAACATTAAGGATCACATTGGCTGTATAGTCTACAGTTATGATTTATCACAGTATATATATGTATATATTACATTTTATTAAAATATTTAAATGGAAAATTGAAACTAGCACCACAAAAGGCTTTTAGTTGTTGTTAATCATTCCCGTACACTATCAATGGTGGTGGAGCTGCCAGACGCTGGACCAACCTTTGGGGAAAAGGGTCCTGAGATTAAAGCACACTGTGACTTGTGGACTGAGGGAGCGGGTCGGACCACCTGCTGGGAACTACAACCAGTTTCAGTGGAATACTTTAATGTCAATTATTTTACAGTGCATCTATATCAAATTGCCTCATGAGAGTTGCTGTATATCTGTATCCTGATTAGCATCAGCAAGATGACAGAAAGTTTTTGCAAATTATTTTTTATTTCTGAGAAATTGACTAATAATACATTTTGACCATGTGGATGTTTGCTACTAAACTCACTTATTTTAAAATAAGGATCAACTTAGTTGCAATGTTTGAATATTAAATAAAATGAGCAAACGAAACTTGCGTTTTCATCCTCTACCAGTGAAGCATCACCTCTCTACTCCCCCCTTCTTTCCCAGGATGCACCTGCAGGCCTCCTCTTCTTATTCATAGCTCCATGTAAATGAGGAGGTTGAGTCTCAGCACACAAGAGGTAACTGTATTTGACTTCTGGCGAGGTTTGTTAATAACATTTGACCTCATATAACTATTGTGTTTTCTATGTAATCCTGTCTGTCACTGCAAACACTGATGTAGATTATTATTAAATATTTGTTTGAAACTCTTGTAAAGCGACTCTCCTTTTGACTTGTGAGAACATTTTTCTGAACAACCTAAGATGTAAGATATACTGATTAAAAAGGATGTACAAAATTGGATCCATGCCATGAATTTAAATCAGTAGAGACAGGACTAGGCCCCAATGGTATTATACAAAACTGGAGAACATCTTTTCAGATCACTTTTTTGCAAAGGCAGTGAGGGAAATAACCTCCACTGATAATAATGCTGACGAATAACACAACTGTGAGAAACATGCAGGTTGAAGCTAAGCTCCTCCCCCTGTCAGTCACTCCCAGCTTCAGTGTCGTATTAAATGTCTCCCCCAGCACCTCCTCTCCTCATCCTCCAAAGCCTCTAATCTGGCAGCAGTCAGGTCTCTTTCCAAGTCACAAGGCCATTCTCATCACACACTGACACCATGCTGGGGACCCTCTGCACTCTCATCACTGCTCTCACATGTGAGGAGGCTGATTTCCTGCAGCTTGGACTTCATGTTGGACTCATCAGTGTGTGTGTTTCTCTTGACTCCATGTCGTCTTGTTGTTTCCAGGTGTGAGTGGTGTGACGGTGGTGACACAGAAGCCTGTTGTAGCCGTGACGACAGGAGAGACAGTCTCCATAGACTGTAACCTCGGGACTGTTACTAACTATCGTGCTCTCTGGTATAAACAGATTCCAGGAGAAGTTCCTCAGTTTGTATTATATTATCATCACAGCCACAGCTCTCCAACATATGGCACTGGTTTCTCATCTCCAAAGTTCACATCCACTCATCAGTCTACTTCAGATTATCGTTTGACCATAAAGAACATCGAGGACGGAGACTCAGCCGTCTATTACTGTAACACATGGGACGACTCTGTTAAAGAGTCCGTATCACAGTGATTTACACTGTGACAAAAACCTCTTCACTGAGTACTTCTGCTTTTTGAGACGCTGACACAATTTGAGTAAAGCCATCCGTCAGTTTCTGTAACTTATATTTCATCTAAACAGATATTTGAAGAGGTAGTTATTTATAGTCATAATATTTGTATACACACCTAAACAAAAAATAGATGATAAGCTTTCCTTCAAAGATAATCTGACAGACAAAGACGGGCTTCATCATTTTGATGTTCTTTACAAAAAAGATTAACACACCTTTTTGCAACACCAGGATTATTATTGTTACTAGAAGACGTTCCAAGACAACTTGAAGAACAAATACAACAAAAGAATAAGAATAAGTTTTATTATGTGATGCAAGAAACACAAAGTTGCATCACATTAAATTTGATAAGTGGAAATTATACATTTCTGTGCATTTAAAACTCCACCATTTAGTCAATAATACAGTAAGTATGTTAAACAGTATTTGCCTCAAAAATATGTCAGCTTTAAAAACTTTCCCAAACTTTTATTTTTTCAGACGCCAATCTTTCAAACTCAATATTCAACAATGTTTAATGAATTCCTCAATGTGACAATGTCTGACTGCAGCACATAAAAGATGATTCCATTTATCTAGATCTTTTCTGACAGTGCTTTTTAAAACATTATACCTTTTGGAAATAAAAAACGGCCGATGGTCGTTTGTAAAAATGTTACTATGTTATGGTTCTGGATTCCTGTGTCACATTGTGTCACACAAGTTTAGATGAGTTCAAAGAATACTATGAGTATAATATGCTTTTTCTTGAACTGTAAGTGATAAAGAGACAATAAATATGTTGTTTTACAAAATGCTTTTTATTCAAAAGGTTTTACTACATTTTACCGTTTGCAAAGCGGATACAACACCTCTACCTAACTGTCAACAACATGTACTACAAGCGTGGAGTCACATGTTCTAACATATAACGCTCGTGATGAATAAACAGCACAAAGAGGGAAGAAGCAGATGTTAAATGGTCCTTCTGCTCCTCTACTGTTGTTCAGTGAGGCACTCAGACTTCTTGATGTTTTTCTCTGCAGTCTGGGAGCCCAAAGACACTTTACATGTGTAAACCTTATCCATGTTCCAGTCTGACGCCTGGATGGCCAGATAGCTGCTGATGTGGAACGTCTGATCAGGTTGCTTAACAGCGGTGCTGGTAGAGATCCCAGTGACCACTGGACTCCCTCCAGACATCCAGGTCACATCTGCAAAAGGCCCAGACTGACTGGACAGACAGACCAAAGAGGCTTTGTTGGACTGCAGCTCAGCACTGGACGGAGGAAAGACAGTGAGGACGGGAGGACGGAGGCTGGAGCCTGAAACACACAAAAGGCATTCTTTAAATGAAGGGAAGTGGAGTTATTGATGCAAATCATGGCGGCAAAAGTAATCTGTTAGCAAGTTGATTAGAAAGACAAAAAACATTTAGAAACCATCAGAGCAGAGTTCAAAAACAAAGTCTATCATTCACAAACTAGATAATACAACGAGATGTTCTATGTTGTTCATGTTAAATACAGTTATATTTTTACTTAGTCTTATATGTATCTTAATCTCTTTTGTTGTTGTTAGAATACAGTGAAACAGAACTGACCTCGGTTTATTTATCTTACTATCAAATCAAAACTACATTTTCAAAATCCAGCAAATGTGGTGTTAAAACTAAATAATAAAGATACATTAAAGTTTGCCCTTCATTTTAAAAGATTAGTAGTTAATCAACACAAACTCAGTAAATTAATATTCAGACTAACATTGATCATTTTAAAGTATGATGTTGTTAAAAAAAATTTTAAATGTTAGTTATCAGTGAGTAGCAGAAATCAATATAGTAAAACATTTTACAACAAAAATTGTCTGCTAAAAAAGAACTTGTTAAGAAAGTGATGAACAAAATCCAACATGTTAAATATCTTCAAAAAGTATAAGAAATAAAAGATTAACATATTACATAAATCTCTGTTAAAATGATGTAGAAACAAAAGAATCGCTTACGTTTTAAGAAGAGATTTAAAGTACTTACTTGTCACAATCAGCTTGGTTCCTTGTCCGAATACCACAGTGATTCAGTTGGTACACATGGCTGTACAAAAACCTCTCGACTCGCTCTGATGACGGAGTGGAACTGAAAGATCCTGTTGAGACCAACTTTCATTGTCAACATCTCACTAACTTCATCAGTTTGATTTGCTCCAGACTGAATTTTCTCTTCACAGGAATTGATTTGTTGTCCTTCAATGTTTTGAAGCAGTTTCCCTTATTTGATGTGTCTGATTTTGCTGAGAATCAATAAATCTTCAGCAGGTCTCTGATGGAGGTTTTTGTCACAGTGTGAACCACTGTGATACAGCTTCACGAGCAGAGTCATCCCATGTCTGACAGTAATACTGAGCAGAGTCTCCTGTCTCTGAACGCTTTATGATGAACTGGTATTCTGTGCTTGAAGAGGATTTAGAGTTGAACCGGTCTGAAGAGAATCCTGATCCAAACTCGAGAGCATTGGCCCCATGGTGAAATCTGAGAACATACTGAGGAGCTTCACCAGGAACCTGTTTATACCATGACACATAATTGCTATCATATCTCTGAATGTTGCAGTTGAGGACAACCTCTTGTCCTGTAGGAACTGAGTGGACAGCAGGCGTCTGAGTCAGCACTATCGCTGCATCAACATCTGTCAACACACAGAGAAAAGTCAGGGGAAAGGTTTGTGCATGAAAACATGGAGCATGAAATGAATGGATGAATATCTTACATGTGAGAGCAGTGAGCAGAGTGCAGAGGATCCCCAGCATGTTGTCAGTGTGAGCTGTAAACGTTCCTTACAGTCCAGCTGAGAGGTGAGCAGGGCGGGAGTGTGAGGAGAAGAAACACTGAGGCTTATAAAGACAGTGAGGAGGAGCTTAAACACTTGATTCACTTGTTACACATAAATACACATCGTGTGTGAGTCACATCAACACTTTTCATGAATTCAGTATTGTACCCATTAATGGAATCACTTTAATTAAATATTTGTATTGTATTATTCAGTATTCAGTGGGTTCATAGTTTGTGCTGAATGTGACTCCTCAGGTTGTGAATAACTGAACTAAACACTTTCCTTGTTCCATACTTTTACAAACAATAAGACCTTTATTTCTGGTTCGTTGTAGAAGATTATAAAACACTGATTCAATTATTGTTTTGATGTGGCTGCTGAAGTTCAGATGAGACTCGATTTCTGAGTGAAGCTTATTGTCATTTGTTCGTCCTTGTCGACGTGTTCAATGATTTATATTCATTTTTTTATTAAACAACATATAAGTTTACCAACCCATGTAGTTACTCTTAGTAAGAATCTGTATCATCTGGATAATTGGAGTCCAAGAACCGAACCCTGTGGGACTCATGGTGATCAGCTGAGATCTTAAGCTGAGTCTAGTGTTTAATTTAATTGTCATGTGTCACCTTAACAAGAGACAATAATGTTAACTGTTATTTTCAGGACAGTGTGATCAATCGTAATTTATGATTAGCAATTTAAATTTACATTTGAGCTTATCTTCTTTTTCATCTTAAAGTGCACACATGGTAAAGTATAAATAACAATTATTACAAATGATTTGAGATTTTGTGTAGAAATTCAACAAATTTCAAACTTCAAAAAAATATCTATTCACAAGAAATATGAGTTACAGAATTTGACTGATGGCTTCACTCAAAATGTGTCAGCGTCTCAAAAAGCAGAAGTACTCAGTGAAGAGGTTTTTGTCACAGTGTAAATCACTGTGATACGTACTCTTTAACAGAGGTGTCCCATGTGTTACAGTAATAGACGGCTGAGTCTCCCTCCTCGATGTTCTTTATGGTCAAACGATAATCTGTAGTTGACTGATGAGTGGATGTGAACTTTGGAGATGAGAAACCAGTGCCATATGTTGGAGAGCTGGCGCTGTGATGGTAAGATAATACAAACTGAGGAACTCCTCCTGGAATCTGTTTATACCAGCGAGCATAACTGTTAGTAACAGTCCCGAGGTTACAGTCTATGGAGAGTGTCTCTCCTGTCGTCACGGCTACAACAGGCTTCTGTGTCACCACCGTCACACCACTCACACCTGGAAACAACAAGACGACATGGAGTCAAGAGAAACACACACACTGATGAGTCCAACATGAAGTCCAAGCTGCAGGAAGTCAGCCTCCTCACATGTGAGAGCAGTGATGAGAGTGCAGAGGGTCCCCAGCATGGTGTCAGTGTGTGATGAGAATGTCCTTGTGACTTGGAAAGAGACCTGACTGCTGCCAGATTAGAGGCTTTGGAGGATGAGGAGAGGAGGTGCTGGGGGAGACATTTAATACGACACTGAAGCTGGGAGTGACTGACAGGGGGAGGAGCTTAGCTTCAACCTGCATGTTTCTCACAGTTGTGTTATTCGTCAGCATTATTATCAGTGGAGGTTATTTCCCTCAACGCCTTTGCAAAGAAGTGATCTGAAAATATTTCCTGCAGTTTTGTAGTACTACAGTTAGTCCTGTTTGTATCGTTTGGAATTCATGACATACATCCAATAGTTTATATGTCTTTTCTTTAATAGTAAAGGAAGTCACCTTCCAAAATGTCGCTTTCCTCACACGTACAATAACGAGATCATACATCAGAGTGTTTCCAGCCATGCGCAGGATCACAGAGAACTGAGACTTAACCTCTTCATTTGCATGAGGTTAAATAAAGACAGGAGGCCTGCAGGTGCATCCTGCACATCAGAAAGGGTTGAAAAATTAACCGTGACTTCCACTGAAATCTAGTGTTGCTATTCTCATTTTCAAGTGTGTGTTTCCTTTTTTTAAGTGATTTAAATCAGTAACAGTTCCCTTTGTGTTTTTCCAACAGCGACCCAGTGCTGCTCTCTACTGTGCATTCAAAAGAGTAACAACACCTGACCTCCCTCATCTTAATGTGAGAACCAACCGAAGTAAAACAAATCATGTTTCATCTTAGAAATATGTGTGTACTCCAGTGATCTCATTCATTTCCTTGTATCGATCATTTAAATACTTCCCGAGGGCGGTACGTTGGCGTGGTGGTTCGCACTGTCGCCTCACAGCAAGAAGGTCCTGGGTTCGGCTCCGTCCAGAGGCCTTTCTGTGTGTTGTCTGCATGTTCTCCCCGTGTCTGCGTGGGTTCTCCGGCTTCCTCCCACAGTCCAGAGACACGCTCTGGGGATCAGGTTGATTGGGGACTCTAAATTGCCTGAAGGTGTGTGAATGTGAATGGTTGTGTGTCTCCGTGTTAGTTAGTATTTCTTTTATATTTTCCGTATAAACAGCGTTCCTCTTTCTCCACTTGAGGTCTCTACTGAGAGCTCAGATTAGGGCTCCTGACAAGGGGACAATCAAGGGGTCAAAGGTGATCAGAGCCAGAAGAAGGGGACCACAGAGATCGTAGACCGATCAGGCTGATGCATCAACCAAGTGTTATTGTGGTTATTTTCAAGCGATTAGTTTGTGTAGGGCAGGGACGGTAAGCGTGTTGCGTCACTTCCTGTTGCCAGCGTGTTTGATGTCATCGAACTTTTCACAGCTCTAGCTATACTGAGTTGACTGTAGCGTGATATTTTTCATCACAAAAAGTGAATTCTTATCTACGTGAGGCGCTGTTAAACACCTCACCGTCTAGCAAATTTTCGCTCCGTTGAATAGTTGCTTGGACGTTGTTTAGCGTCAACGTTACTTCTATTAGCGTTAGCATTAGCTTAGCAGCTAACCTGGTGATGTCTTCCCTCCCTGCCTCTCCTGCTCTTTCTTGCTCGGTGTGTCACATGTTTAGCTATTCCTCTGCCTCCCTTACCGATAACGGTACGTGTAAGAAGTGTAGTATATTTTATAAATTGGAGGCGAGGCTTAGTGAGCTAGAAGCACGGCTCCGCACCATGGAAGCTCAGTCGTTAGCCGCTGTTACCCAGCCCACCCCCGTAGCCGGTGCGGGCCACATAGACGTAGCGTTCGCTCCTGCTAGCCGTCCCCCGGCAACCCCCGAGCAGCCGGGAGGCTGGGTGACTGTCCGGAGTAAGCATAAGTCTAAGTCGAAGCACACGGTTAACCACCAACCACTTCACGTTTCAAACCGCTTCTCCCCACTCGGCGACACACCCGCTGAGAAGCCAACTCTGGTGATAGGTAGCTCCATTCTGAGGAACGTGAAGTTAGCGAAACCAGGGGCCATAGTTACGTGTATACCGGGAGCCAGAGCGGGCGACATTGAGTCTTATCTTAAACTGCTGGCTAAGGATAAACGTAAATACAGTAAGATTGTAATACATGTCGGCGGTAATGACTCCCGATTACGTTGCTCGGAGGTCACTAAAGTTAATGTGGAATCGGTGTGTACATACGCTAAAACAATGTCGGACACCGTAGTTTTCTCTGGCCCCCTCCCAAACTTGACAAGTGACGACATGTATAGCCGCATGTCGTCATTCCGCCGCTGGTTGTCGAGGTGGTGCCCAGTAAATAATGTGGGCTTCGTTGATCACTGGAAGACGTTTTGGGGAGAGCCTGGTCTGATTAGGAGGGACGGCATCCATCCCACTTTGGACGGAGCTGAACTTCTTTCTAAGAACCTGACCCAGTTTCTTAGTGGACTTAATCCATGACCCAGAGTTCAGACCAGGGAGCAGAGAGTCTTACACACTTCTCTGCGCTTCAATCTGAGCAGTCACTCAGCATAATGAACCCTATAGAGACCTTGTCTGCCCCACGGACACACTTATCTAAGTTAAAGGTAAACAACCAAGGAGTTGTAGTAAATAACTTAATTAAAGTTAAAACTAATAATGCAATAGTGCAACAAAATAGGAGAATTAAAGGGGGTCTTTTGAATATCAGATCTCTGTCATCTAAAGCTGTTTTGGTAAATTAACTAATATCAGATCACCATGTTGATGTATTTTGTCTTACTGAAACGTGGTTGTTGAATGGGGAATATTTCTGTTTAAATGAAGCGACTCCTCCGAGTCATGTTAATACTCATATTCCCCGAGGCACAGGCCGAGGGGGGGGAGTGGCAGCTATT